CAAAAACTTATACCATTACCATTTGAAGACAGGCTATGGTCATCGATATAAAGAATTTCTATTTAAGAGCTAGAGGTGAGGCTAAAGCACTTCAGTACTCACCCAGCAAGTACGAGGCCCTTAATTCAAACATCCAAACTGCCAAAAATAATTTTTAAAACAAATATTTATTTATCTTACAACCCTTGCCAAAGTCTGCCACATAGATTAATAAGCCCTTGCTAAGGCCTAGACAGTGATTTTTTTTAAAGCTCTTTAGATGTTTCCAATATGTATTCAGGTTTGTTTGCACATTATAGTTTAAAAATTAGCAGCTTCAGATGACGTCTGTATGCTTAGCAGGACCTGAATCTGAATCTTTAGCATGTTGGTAGTATCTTCTTCACTCTCCCAGTGTATTCTGAATACTATCTCTTCAGAGTATGAGTTGCTATGGAAGAATGTCACATTCATGGAGCAAGAGACAGAGAGAAAGAGGGAGAGAGAGAATGTCTGTATGTGTGTGTATAGAAATAAATCACTTCCTTTGGGAAGAACAATCAAACAAAATGACTATGAATAAAAGAAATCTGATAGTTCTTGAAATCTATACCCTAAAATGACATTTTTGCAAGTGTGCATGGAATATTATCCAACATAGATCACATGCTGAGATATGATATAAGACACAATCACCTTATCATCTCAAATGATTAAATCTTTTTTCCCCCAGTACTGCAGTTTGAACTCAGGGCCTCATATTCCCTCAGCACATATTCTAAAACTTGACGCATACTTAAAACCCAAATGATTTTATCTTAAAGTATAGGTTCTATAACCACAAAATAATTATATATACAATAAATTATATATATAATCAATATGATACCTAGAAAATTATAAAATGCATAGGTGGAAGTTAAGCATCATATTGCTTGATCACATGTGGCAGAGGAGTAAAAGAAGGGTTAAAGAGAAAGCTCAAGTATAAATAGAAAATAGTTACAACCAGAAGCCGGGTGCCAGTGGCTCATGCCTGGAGTCCTAGCTACTCAGGAAGCTGAGATCTGAGGATCACGGTTCAAAGCCAGCCTGGGCAGGAAAGTCTGTGAAACTCTTATATCCAATAAACCACCAGAAAACCGGAAGTGGTGCTGTAGCTCAAGTGGTAGAGCACTTGTCTTGAGCTGAAGAGCTGAGGGATAGCACTCAGGCCCCAGAGTTCAAGCCCTATGACTGACTAAAAGAAAAAAAAGGTTACAACCAAATCAAACAGAAAATACAATAGATCAAAAATTGTGGAATATAGCACACAGAAATTAATAGCTTTGAAGTTTTCTATTTAGAAAATTGGAGCAATTTAAAGCCATCATAACTTTTTACCTTAAGAAATTAGAAGAGGAGATTGGGACACATTTAAAAGGTAGAAAATGGTAGAGAAATGCAAATAACACGTGAGAGGTACTTGATATTATTGGAAACCAGAGAAATATACATTAGAATTTTCATGTGCTACCTCAAGATCCAACAGTGATGCTAAAAATGAAGTGATGAATAATGTCAAATGTTGACAAAAATGTAGAACAAGCAACAAATACAAACTATTTTTTTCCAGTCCTAGAGCTTAAATTCAGAGCCTGGGAGTTGTCTCTGAAGTTTTGAGTTCAAGGCTAGCACTCTACCACTCAAGCTACAGCTCCACGTCTGGCTTTTTGGTGGTTAATTGGACATAAGAGGCTCATATACTTTCCTACCTGGGTTGGCTTCATAGTGATCTACAGATCTCAGCTTCCTGATTAGCTAGGATTATAACAGGCATGAACCTGTAATGACTACTTTGAAAAACTATTTGGTAGCTGCTTATGATGCTACATGTATATAAGCCTGTGATCCAGCAATAACAGTTTTAAGCATTTATCCTAGAAAATATCCACTATGTCCACAAAAAAGAGATATGTATGTAGTTTTTTTGTTATACATCCAAATTGGAATTGACTCACATGTTCACTAACCACAAAAAGGAGAAAAACATTTACAGTGCATGGATAACATGGAATATTACTGAGTAATTTAAAAGAATGAGCTAGTAATAAATTCACTACAAATGGAAGAATAAAAACATGTCATGTTAAGCAGTGGGTGTGGTAGCACATACTTGTGATCCCAGCATTAAGGAGGCTGAGGCAGGAGGCTCCTGAGTTCCAGGCCAGCCTGGGTTACAGACCAAGTCCCTACATCAAAAATCAATTATGTACCTATAGCTATATAGATATATGTTGTTAAGCTAAAGAACTGAAACATCAAATAGTGTATACTATATTTTCCATCTATATGACATTCAAGAACAGACACAATCTATGGAAACAGCAATCAGAGCTATAGTTAGCTTTTAGGACAGAAAGTATCTGGAAGGAATCACAAAGAAATTTTCTGTGCTCTAGTGCTCTGTATCTTGATTATTGCACAGGCATATCTATTTGCCAAAATTCAAATTCCACTTTAGATGTGAGGATTATATAGTATGTAAAATTTACCTTACTAAATTAAAAAAGTAACCTTTTTATTCAAGTCCTCAGACTTCATATTACAATGAGACAATCAGCCATAAGTAATAAGATATCTCTAGCCAGGAGCTGGTGGCTCATACCTGTAATCCTAGCTACTCAGGAGGCTAAGACCTGAGGATTACAGTTTGAAGTCAGCCTAGGCTGACTTCAAAAAAAAAAAAAAAAGTAGAAGTGAAGCTGTGGCTCAAGTGGCAAAGTGTTAGCCTTGAACACTAAAGTTCAGGGACAGTGCTCAGGCCCTGAGTTCAAGCCATAGGACTGGCAAAAAATAAAATAAAATCAGTTATAGATATCTCTAACATACAAACATTTTGCTTCTGGAACTAAAAGACGAATCTAAATACTAGTAAATCTACCTTAGTGAATAAGTACAGGTAGAGGAGAAACAATATGTATCATTTGAGTTGGGTCTAGAAGAATGTGTAGAAGATTGTCAGATGAATGGTGAAGGCCATTTTATAGAGTTAATAGATGCACAAAAACACATAATATTCATTTTAGTGTAGGATCTAAAGGTGGAAAGAAGAATTTAGAGGTAGATTGGGTTGGATGTTTTGCACTGAGCAGATTTTATGACACAAATGAGGGTTCTAAGCACCATAATAGTATGATCAGTGAATATTTTAGTAGAGGTAGGATACCCATGCAATGGGGAGAATTTGACATCAGTGACCTGTTGTTCAGTGCATTCTGAGCAAAGCCCTATCCAGAGCTCTTGCTTACAGGTGTATTTTTTTTCATATCTATGAAGTAATGATCAGGATCGTCCAGTGACTTACCTTGGATGGTTTTTGTGTAAGTTACCTGCAGTTTGTGCAGGTGATAGCAGGTGAATGCAGGCTCCTTGCTGACAGGATATCCAAATGCTTTCAGCAAAAAGGGAAAGCAATTCCTCAAGCAGCTGGTGCGAAGATTAGACAGCACCTCTCTCACTTTGCTTTGGAGGACATTCATGCTGCGTTTTATAAAGGAAATGCATGGAGGTAATGTTTCTTGCTTTGGAGTACCAGAAAAATCCAAAATTGCCAAAATACCCTTCTTTGCAGATGACAAGGCCTTACTGGTGTTTTATAGGAGCTATTTCAATGGCTGGGCATGTTAGCTCAGGATTGCAGTGTGTGCTGATTGTGAATGAGGCTCTGAGTTCAATCCTCAGTACACTACCAAGACAAAAGACGAAAAAAAAATCAGTCAACCCAACTTTCCACACTTGATGGACCCATAGGTGGCCACCAAGCCCAAGAGCAGTGGCCCCATACCTTGTTTGGTCCCTGAAGATACACATCCTACAGTAAGCCATCAACTACATCAATGAGAGTCTTCCAGGCCACTGAGGATCTAGTGACGCAGAGGGACAGTCAGAGAAGTAGGTCCCAAGTCATGGCATCGTGGAAACCAGAGATGTTGTTCCGATAGATTCAAACTCCAATCAAAAGCAGAGGCTGTAGTATACCAGTGGCTCATGTCTGTAATCCTAGCTATTCAGAAGGCTAAAATCTGAGGACTGAGATTTGAAGCCAGCCTAAGTAGAAAAATCGAATGAGACTCATCGCCAATTAATGATCAAAAAGCAGGAAGTGGAGCAGTGGTTCCAGTGGTAGAGCACCAGCCTTGAGCCAAAAAGCACCAGCCTAGAGCCTTGAGCCAAAGAGCACCCAGGCTCTCAGTTCTACCGCCACCACCATCAACAACAAACTCACAAACAACAGCAACAACAACGCAGAAGGTTATCAGAAGCCCCCTCCATGAAAACTTAACTCTGCTGGTGCTGAAAGCAGAAGGCCCGTTTTAATGAAGACATAAAATGGATAGGAATTGAGGGATGTGATGGGTGCAGGTATATTGCATTGATCTGTACTCTCAACCCAAGGCATAGAAGGAAGGGGGAAGTTTAGGCTCCTATAGAGGAGCAGACAATAGGAGCAGATCACGCACAGCATGACCGGGACTGAGGAGGCTCCCCTGTTCTCTGAAATGCCAACGGAGGAGGCAGGGAGTCATATCATAGGTAGGAGTCTGTGAACATGTGCAGGATGAGAAATCAGGGCGTTTGATAAGGGCCGTGACATCCGAAAGGGTAAAAATGAGCGGAACTGTGCAAAGCTATTGGCTCAGGCACGATTGAACTGAGAATTTAGGCATGCCTTTAAAGGCGTGAAGGAGCTCTTTTGTCATCTCTGCTGGGCAGATGCGCAGCCCCCCATTTAGTAAGGCGCGCTGCTGCGTTCCAACCCCGCAGAAACCAGCGCCCGTAGCCCTGACCCCAGCCGGGCTGGGCGCGGATCACCAGTGAGTAACCCACAGCGCGTCCTCTGCGCCCCACCCCACCCCCACGGCCTCACCCCTCACCCCCGAGGCGGAGGACCAGGCTGGAACTACACTTCCCAGTGTGCCAGGCGGGGCGGGGCGCGGCGGGGAGGGCGCAGGCTCCTTCCCAGAAGCAAAAGCGGAAACAAAAGAGTCTCGCCGGCGTCCCCGCCCGCACACTGACTCGCGCACACTCGCGCTCGGGCGCACACGGAGCAGGCACCGGCGCCCGGAGCGAGCCAGCGAGCGGCGAGCCGGGGCGGGGGACCCCACCCGGCAGATCCAGCCGAGCAGCCCGAGGACCCGGCCCGCGACGATCCACGCCCCCCAGCCCCTCAGCCGCTCCCCCGCCGGCCCGTGTCCCCACCGCCCTCCCTGACCGATGGCGCTGAAGCGGATTCAGAAAGTGAGTGCCGGGGCCCCGGCCTGGGGCGTCGGGGCGGGCATCGGTCCCCGGTCCATGGCTGACTTGGACGTCGGATCCTTCCCACCCCCCTCCCCTTGGATGTGCGGGAGGAGGAGGGCACGGAATGGGAAGATGGGCCGGGGCGGAGGCCAGTGGGGCTTCAGAGGGAGGCTGCCCGTACTGTGGGCACGGGACAGGTGAGGCGGGTCCGGGGTCGGGTCTCCGGTGGCCCGGGGGGTGCTTGGAGACTGGGGACTCGCTGCGCGATCGCGGAAGGGGCTGCGCACTGAGTCCCTGGGTGGAGATCGTCTTCGGTGTGTGCAGCCCCTTCCCGAAATCCGTGCTTCGGGCTCACAGCTGGGGCTTGGCTCTAACGTGGGTTAGTTTTGTTCCCTGTCATTTCGCTGTGATTTCTCCATCCACGCTCTTCCTCAAGCCTGGATGGTAATGATGATTTTTTTTTTTTAATGTATTCTTGTTTCCCTGGGCTTCCTGGGAGGGCAAGGAAGGTGTGGTGGGCCTCTGCGGTTGGCGCTTGCTCCAGTGCCGGAATAGGCTGGAAAAGCAAGCCCATTTGGGGCTGAGAAGGCGCCTGCTCCTTCTATTTTGGTGCCTCTCTGCTCTGCCACTTCAGGTCACACAGCTGTAGTGAAAACCTAGTTGCTGATACACCACAACAAGATGACCTCTTGGCTGTGATTCATGGTGAGTCAAGCCAAGCAGGTTTATTTTCCTCATGATAAACTTGTATGTAAAGTTCCAACCACAACAGAAATGGCCACAAATTAAGTTGTTTTGGATGCTTTTGACACACGGGTATAGAATGAGGAAAAGAAATGTGGATCTCTTCATCATACAAATATTATTCATCCCAGCACTGTATAAAGAAGGTCTTTTCTTGGTATTGTTAGGACAACCATTTCAGTTGTGACCATCTGGCAAAGCTGGGATTTGTGCATTTCTTTTTATTCCTTCGCTTTAATGTCCTTTTGGGTTCTTGACCCACGTTTCAGGTTTTACAGTTCTAGCCCAGACTGGAACGTTGAAATGTTTGGGAGGCTCCTAGCAAGTTAAGCCAACAATGGTCAGTGGGTTTTGTCCTTGGTTACAGAACTAATCAAGGCTTACCGATTTTTTTTTTAAATCGACTTAGTCAACTTCGAGTCAGTACAACATTGGTTGAGGTTGGAGTAGTTGTCAACCTATGTACATGGCATTCAGACTCACTACTGGTGTCATCGTTTGGTACAGAGAAAAGCAACTTCACACTCTCAGTTAAATTTCTGTTCCTTTTTGGTGCAAATACTAAAACTGTGCATCATTATTTCTCTTTATACTCTTTAAAGGTCACCTTACTATAAAATGTACCACAAACAATCAACATTAATTTAGTAATAGTAATTTTCTTTTGAAGATAATATAATTACATATTTCTCATATAATTTACGTCCTCGTTTAGAAGCCCCAGTCAGCATCCTTACCATACCTTGCATAGTTATTAACGATGATGTAATGTTGGTTCACATTTGCACCAGACAACACACATTTTCCAAGGAAGTTTTTAAAAATGCTGTTTCCTTCTTTCCTGGTTTTGAGAAGTTTCCACATGACTTTGTATACATATATTGCTTTTAGTTACTGTGGAATTCACCCACAGTAAATGGGCATTTCAAAGAAATATGAACACCATTTGTAAATACTGTGCTTGGAAGTTCTTGTCTATCACTATGCTAAGCCTATAATTTAGCCTATATCCACATCTTTTTTTTTTTTGTAGTTCTTGGTTATTATAACAGATTTGCCCAGGACAAAAATATCATCTATGTAGAATAGATGTCAAACCTGTGACAAATTGATCTTTGGAAGAAATTGGGGATCATGTAGCACCCCTGTATGTCAGTCTGATTTCTTTCCTGTGTTACCAGGCAAGTTAACTTACAAAAGTTATATTAATCACACACTCCATTCCTTCTAACAGGTTGAGTCTCTGCTTTTTCTGTCTGGCTGTCTGGCTGTCTCTTTCTCTCCCTCTTCCCCCCCCCCCATTTTGTAATTACTTCTTGATTAAAAGGCAATTCCAGTTCAGATATGCCATCTTCCATATGAACAGTCTCAAAATCCACTTTGATGTCTTCAGTATTCAGATTCGTATTTGAGCCTTGCCTTTTACCTTGGATAAAGTTACATTCTCACTTTTGGCCTTCCCTTTTAAACATATTAAAGTGATACTATCAGATAAGTTCAGGTCATTGGGTTGCAGTTTCCCTGCCTAAAGTGGCAGACTTTGAAGCTTTTGAATCCTGGGAGAAGTCTGCAGTAGCAGAGTACTAGCAGAACTGCTTCTGGGTATACAGAATCAAGTCTGGATCATTTTCAAACCATATACACTATGTAAATGGAGTGATGTTGAATCCTTTGAAAGGGCTGAAGTGAAAAGAAGGTTGAGAACCACTGATATTTTGTTATGTTCTCTTTGTTTAAAGAAGATATCTGAGGCCTGGAAGAGAGAAACGCTTTGCCTACAGTTATTCTCTGAAGAAGTGATTTGGCATATTTGAGAAGGAAGTTCACAATTTCACATTTCTTTACCATGAAAAGAATAAAGAATGTTGAATTACACACACATACACACACACACACACACAGCATGTGGATATCAATGCTTAAAATATATTTTCATGCTAGAATATACCAAATGATTTAGCACTCTAATTTTGCATTTCAGCTCATAAATTTACACACCCATGCCCTATTTTTAGACACAGTGAAAGATGTTATTGCAGTCACCTAAATCACTAAAGAGAAAAACTGAACTAAATCCAAGAAAAGAAACCTCTGACATTTGAAAAAAGAGAGCAGTCTCTAATGGGGCATCTGTATTTTTCTAGAATTGAATTCTAAGTGCTTCTTCTCCTCTAATACACTGTTTTCAGTCCTTGATACACTTTATTATACACTTTGTTTTTAAGGAATATTCTATCACAATTCTGAATCTTTGAAAATTAGAAAAACAAAAGAAATCCTAATATAGTCATCTTTATCACTGTTGTATATCTTTCCATCTATTTTTTTTACTTAATAAAGCCTTTTAGGCAAAATCCTCATACTGGCATGTGATAGATTTGTGCCTTCCGTTTGTTCTGTTTTTGTGCCAGTCCTGGGACTTGAACTTAGGACCTACGCTCTATCCCTGAACTTTTCTGCTGAAGGATAGCACCCTGTCACTTAAGCCACAGCTCCAACTCTGGCTTTTTTGGTGCTTAACTGGAAATAAGAGTTTCACAGACTTTCCTACTTGAGCTGGCTTTGAATCATGATCCTTAGATCTCAGCTTCTTGAGAAGCTAGGATTATAAGTGTGAGCTACGTGCACCTAACTTGTGCATTTTTGTCTGTCTTTTGAAAATGGAAATATAATATTTTCATTTCATAAATATAGCACCATAGATAACTATTCCTTAGTGTTTACTACTATCCCCCAAATGAACCGTTTGGGGATAGGAGGTTACTTCAATAGTAGAGCACTTGCCTAGCGTATGCAAGGTCCTAGATTTGATCCTTAGCACCAAAAACAAATAAGTTGCCTACAGTTTCAAAAGTGGAATATTTGGCTTTTTCCCCAAAATCTGTTTCATCTAAAATGTATATATGATCATAGATTAAGACACAACTTTGTAAATGTTATGAGCGGTATAACTTTCACCTGGTAGAATTCTACATTGAGTTACTTATGTCAGCAGAATAAACAGGATAGTTGGTTGGTTGGTTGGTTGGTCGGTTGTGGGTCTTGAACTCTGGGCCTGGGCACTGTCCCTGAGCTCTTCAGCTCAAGGCAAGTGCTCTATCACTTGAGCCACAGTGCCACTTCTGGTTTTCTGGTGGTTAATTGGAGATAAGAGTCTCACCGGCTCTCCTGAATGGGCTGGCTTTGAACTGTGATCCTTAGATCTCAGCCTCCTGAGTAGCTAGGATTACAGGCATGAGCCACTGGAGCACAGCCTAACAGGATAGTAAACATAGCCCTCTGTAGATGGATGGTCAATCCAGGGAAGATCATTCAGTTCTTATTTCTGGGTCTGTGAATTCTTTTTTTTTTTTTTTTTTATCTATACAATGTTGCTTCTGGTAACAGCAACCAGCATGTATCTCATAACTACTCTGTCCTTTGTAAGGTCCAAGAGATAGAAACAGTATTACTACCATGTAGAGATGATGAAACAGAAGCAAAGAGATACTAAATAGCTAACCCAAGATCACAGATTTAGTATGTGGCAATACTAAGAATCCAGATAATTGGCTACAAGGCCATTTTAGTTTCTCTTATCCATGTGGGCACATGTCTTGGGTTTACTGTATTTGATCTGAAGGACAAGTAGACTCCAGTGAGTTGATGGGTGGAAGGATTTTACAAGCCAGAGTGCTCAGTACACATGTAAACATGTTTTTATAATTTGGCATATTTGATCCTTGTCTCAGATGAATTGCTCAGTGTGTTGATTATGCATTGTCATCTCCACTGCAAGGTAATGATACTGGATCATTTAAAATTGTAAATTAAAAATAGGACTTGGCTCGTTTTTGTGTACCATTATAAAATTTTCAGCTGGCTGCCAGTGGCTCACACCTGTAATCCTAGCTACTCAGGAGGCTGAGATCTGAGAATCGAGGTTCAAAGCCAGCCGGGGCAGAAAATCCATGATACTCTTATCTCCTATAAACCACTAGAAAACCAGAAGTGGCGCTGTGGCTCAAGTGGTAGAGTGCTAACCTTGAACTGAAGAACTGAGGAACAGTGCTCAGGCCCAGAGTTCAAGTCCCATGACTGACAAAAAAACAAAACAAAACCCAAATTCTCCTCTAAAAGGAGGAACTTTTTAGAACAATTGGTTGTAATTTATTAATTTTCTGTCAAAAGCCATTTCAGGCTTGAGATATGGCTCAGAGGGAGAGCATGTAGTTTAGCAAGCAAGCATGAAGTTTTGAGTTCAAACACCAGAACTT